GCACCAGTTTTTTCTCAGATGAATTTTACAAGTGAAATTTCCCCCGTTTGGAAGCATTCTATAATCATTCCAATTTTCAAAAAGGGTAATCAGTCTGACCCTGCTGATTATCCGCTGATCAGCCTTTTATCATCTGTTGGGAAATTATATTCCTCCCTTCTGTATCAATGATTAATGGAATGGATTGAGACTAATAATTTGGGAACAAATAGGTTTCAGGAGAGGATTATCCATCATTGACCACTACTTCACTTGGCAGATAAATATACAGCTATGCCAAGAGGGGAGCTGTATGTAGCTTTTGTGGACCTCAAGGGTACATTTGATTCAGTCAGCTGACCAAAGCTATGGAAGAAACTGGATAAAAGACTGCTCTGGTTAATCAAGATATTATACGCTAATACTATTGCTCGGGTTCACTATGGTGATGAGAGGCAACTCTCAGACATTTCGTTTTGATAGTGGATTAAGCAGGTTTTTGCTTGCTCCTCCCCTTTTTAATGTATTTTAAATGATCTGATATTGAACCTTGCATCCCCAGAGTTTCACGTCCCCAGATTAACTTTGAAAGAATTACCATTGCTGCTTTATGCTGATTATTCTGTTCTTATTTTTCGTATTATGATCAGACTGAAGACACTTCTGATGTTTTTCAAATTGTTTAGAAGAGGAGTTGCAAATAAATTATAATAAATCTAAAATACTGGTTTTCTCCAAAAATAGCAATTTAGGACTTTATAAATGGGTTGTAGAAAACTCTCATATTGAACAAATTAGGAAGTTTTTTTTTAAATCTAGGGATAGTTTTCTCTTCAAACCTTGTTCCCTCAGGTTAAGTTTGCTCTGAATAAGATTAAGCCTATTACTGGAGCGATCTTATGTTGTTGTTGCTGTTGTTTTCATTAGGGGAGGAAGATATATCCCTGGTGCAATTCAGGTGTTCAGTGCTCTATGGTGTTGTTATCTGGATCTCAGAAATCTCAGGATCTATCGATCATCCTCTTTGTTAATTTTTGCATAGGATAATGGGCGTCCCGCCACATGGTTCAGATGTGTCTAACAAACAGAGTAATGGAGGCTGTAAAAAGTAAAAAGAATTCATTTAAGCAGTGGAAAGCTAGTCACAGTGAGGCTGATAAAACGGAACACAGGCTATGGCAAATAAAATGCAAGTCTGAGGTCAGGCAGGCAAAAAGGGAATATGAGGAGCATATAGCAAAAAACGTAAAAACCAACAATAAAACTTTCTTCAAATACATTAGAAACAGGAAACCAGCCAGGGAGGCAGTGGGGCCCTTGGACGACCAAGGGGTAAAAGGAGTATTGAAGGATGATAGGGAAATGGCTGAGAAGCTAAATGCATTTTTTGCCTCCGTCTTCACTGTGGAAGATGAGAAGTGCTTGCCCACTCCAGAACCACTGATTTCAGGAGGGGTGTTGGAAGACCTGAGTCAGATTGAGGTGACGAGAGAGGAGGTCCTAAAACTGATAGACAACTTAAAAACTGAAAAATCACCAGGCCCAGATGGCATACATCCGAGAGTTCTGAAAGAACTCAAATGTGAACTTGTAGATCTCCTGACAAAGATATGTAATCTTTCCTTAAAATCTGCCTCCATTCCTGAGGATTGGAAGGTAGCTAATGTCACTCCCATCTTTAAAAAGGGTTCCAGAGGAGATCCGGGAAATTACAGGCCAGTCAGTCTGACGTCGATACCGGGTAAATTGGTGGAAACCATTATTAAGGAAAGAATTAGTAGGCACATAGATGAACAAAACCTATTGAGGCAGACTCAGCACGGTTTCTGTAAGGGAAGATCTTGTCTCACTAACCTGTTAGTGTTCTTTGAGGGGGTGAACAAACATGTGGACAAGGGGGATCCAATAGATATTATTTACCTTGACTTCCAGAAAGCTTTTGATAAAGTTCCTCATCAAAGGCTCCTAAGTAAGCTCAAAAATCATGGGATAGAAGGACAAGTCCTTTTATGGATCAAAAACTGGCTAGTTCATAGAAAACAGAGAGTGAGTGTAGGTGGGCAATTTTCTCAGTGGAGGGTGGTAAGCAGTGGGGTACCGCAGGGATCAGTACTTGGTCCACTGCTTTTTAACTTGTTCATTAATGATTTGGAGATGGGAGTAAGCAGTGAAGTGGCTAAATTTGCGGATGATACAAAGTTGTTCAGGGTGGTGAAAACCAGTGAGGATTGTGAGGCACTCCAAGGGGATCTGTCAAGGATGGGCGAGTGGGCGTCAACATGGCAAATGGGGTTCAATGTGGCCAAGTGCAAGGTGATGCACATTGGAGCCAAAAATCCTAAATATAAATACACATTGATGGGGTCTGAACTGGCAGAGACTGAGCAAGAGAGAGATCTTGGAGTTGTAGTGGATAACTCACTGAAAATGTCGAGACAGTGTGTGACTGCAATAAAGAAGGCCAATGCTATGCTGGGGATTATTAGGAAGGGTATTGAAAACAGATCAGCCAATATAATAATGCCCCTATATAAATCAATGGTGAGACCTCATTTGGAATACTGTGTGCAGTTCTGGGCACCACACCTTAAAAAGGATATTATAGCTTTGGAAAAAGTGCAGAAAAGGGCAACTCGAATGATAAAAGGGTTGGAACACTTTCCCTATGAGGAAAGGTTAAAGCGCTTAGGGCTCTTTAGCTTGGAGAAAAGACGACTGAGGGGTGACATGATCGAGGTTTATAAGATTATGCATGGGAAAGAGCAGGTAAAGAAAGAGGTACTTTTCTCCCTTTCTCACAATACAAGAACTCGTGGGCACTCCATGAAACTGCAGAGCGGTCGGGTTAGAACGGATAAAAGGAAGTACTTCTTCACCCAAAGAGTGATTAACACATGGAATTCACTGCCACAGGAAGTGGTGGGTGCTACAAGCATGGACGGCTTCAAAAGGGAATTAGATAAGCATATGGAGCAGAGGTCCATCAGTGGCTATTAGCCACAAGGTATAGCTAGGGGCTCTGGGGCAAGTGATGCTCTGTCTTCTTGGTGCTTGGGGGGGGGGTCAACAGTGGGAGGGCTTCTAATGTCCTGGCCCCACTGCTGGACCTCCTGATGGCACTGGTATTTCTGGCCACTGTGTGACACAGAGTGTTGGACTGGATGGGCCTTTGGCCTGATCCAACATTGGCGTCTCTTATGTTCTTATGTCTCTCAGAGCTGAACTAGGCCAAACGTTGTTGGAAACCAGAGCATGGCTAAGTGCTTTTAAGCTAAGAATAAAGACTATCTTTGCCATAGAAGCAGATGGATTGCTGTTTTCTCTTGAACAAGATGTTTGTTATTCAGTATGGATGAAGCTAGGTAAGGCAGAGACTCTATTTATTGTCAAGCATTGTCTTACCAAGCTTGATTATGATAGCACAGTAATTCATGTTCGTAGAGTTTGTTCGACCCAATTCTTTGGTATTTTACCACCTTGGTCCTTGCCTTCCTATACGAGACATCTAATGGTTCCTTATTATGCTAGGAAATTTGCTCTAGCTTGTCTTAAAGCTAACCCTTCTGAACTATTGCTTGGGAGCTTTTGTAAGATTCCATATTCCATAATTTTTGTAATATTCCATATTCTGATCATCTTTGTCCTTGTGGCCTGGGTACAATTGATACTTTATCTCATAAAATACTGGAATATTCCTTTTACTCTATTTTTAGGAAGCCATAGATTTTACCGCTTCTACATTTATTATTCAATAATTCTCAAAGGGATGTTATTCCCTATCTGATGCTAGACAGTGATTCGAATATAACCTTATCAGTTGCTAAATTCTGTCTATCATATTTTCCTTTAGAAACTAATTCAGTACTCTTTTAGTCACAGCTCAAGATCTATTGATCAGAGGAGCTCTGAAAACGAAAGGAAAGTCTGGGTTGATCAAGCCCAAGCCCTGAGTCACTGCAAGCAAAAGTGCTTGATTGCCTCAAACTAAAACGAACAAATACCCCCCCAAAAAAGTTACCCCCCAAAAAATACATAATATTATATTATATTATGTTATATTATATTATTTGTTTATAGTTCGCCTTTCTCACTCAGACACAAGATGGATTACACAGAGTGAGTCAATATATCAGTCAACAGATGGGACATTGAATAAAGAATGCAATAGGATTAGGGTTGTAGAATCAACCAGAAGTCTAAAAATAGAGTTCAAGCAGCACATAAGTATTAACATGACATGCTAAATGATGCAAAATGACATAATACAATCCTAGTTACAGCAAGCTATACACAGTAGTACAGACCACCGTTCCTATTCATTTTTACAAGTAACTTTGTGAATCATTTAGTACAGTGCAACTCTACTGCCTTTGTAGTAAAGCCCTCTTGAATAATTGAGTTTTGCACAGTTTGAGGAAAGCCATGAGAGTGGGAGCCTTCCTGACCTCCTCCAGAAGGCGAGGGCCACAATGGAGAAGGCACGTGTATGGGTAGCTGTTGATTTTGCCTACAAAAGACCCTGCTCTGATGAGGGAAGCTGTCATGCAGGAGCATAGGGGAAAGGTGATCACCTTACAGATATGAGTGTCCAAAGCTATGAAGGTATTTGTATGTGATAGCTACTACCTTACATTGAGCCCAGTAACTGGTGGATAATATGATAATATAATAGCTACTACCCTAAACTGTGCCAGGTAACTGATGGATAAAATGAGTTCTGAAGTATGATAAGTTAATGCATACAATAGCATGTTTACAAATATATTTTTTCTAATGATAACTAGTCATTTTACAGGAAATATTACAATTATAACAGTTTATAACACTGATCTGTTTGAATTGTGTTGGAAATGAATACGATTTTGCAGTGGCTTTCTGAAGTTTGCGTTTGAATTAGCGTACACTGAACCCAAATGTACCCTAGTTAGACTCATTGTCTCTTAACTTATTTTAATTAAAAACAAATATTTATTTATGCAATTATTTCTCAGACTGTATTTAAAATATGTGGTCCTACTTACATCAGAATAAATGCGTGTTCCAATTACTCGGGCATAGTGTGGATTTGCCTGCATGCAGTTGTGAGGACAATAAACCCTGAACAAGAGAAAAAGAAAGGAAGTATAAAGTACAAGCAGTTGAACAACAGCAAAGACAACTGCTTCATATGTGAATATTATATTAATTGAAATTAAATAAAAGACATTGTTGTCTGTCTGTTTTTACTCAATGAAAGATTAAACTGACAGTTGAACAATATTATGTTTGTTTGCTTTGTCATTTCACTGTTTTCCTTGAAACATGTGGGCTACTGTACACTGCACTATGGAGTGCTTGAAAATTCAGTCAGTCCTTTTTGGTTGTCCTCCCACATTTGTGAATGGTAAATTTGCATGAATGGGAGATGACAGCTCTGTGTCTCTCTCTTAACATATACTCTTCAATTGCTTAAATTATTGAATCTTTATACATTATCATTACCTTCACCTTCATAAAAAATCAAAATTCTGTGATTCTAAAGAGTCAAGAGCAGTCATAGCTTGGCATCATAAGACTCCTTTTTTAACTAGATGAGGATAGCAATGAAGTAAGAGACAGGTTTAATTTATTTACCTTGGGCAGTGTGTGGCTGGCTTGTAAAATGGACACAATTGTTCCACGGTTGTTTCACAGGTGATAGCTTGCACTGAAATTTTTAAAAGATGAAACATCCTATGAAATTGTATATAATCAAACAAACTACAAATGCTGTTTATACACACTCACACAAACACACACACGAAAATACTAACCTGCAACTTTAGAGACAGTGAAGGAATTAGCAGACTGGTATTTGCTACAATAAAAACAGTAAATTTCTTGTTAGTATTACTATGAATAAATTACCATTTGGCAAATTAGAGAAGGTGACATGCAATAAATCATAATACAGTGCAACAGTAATCTAACATACTTTGTAAAGAAATGGCAATAATAAAGAAGAAAAAGAAGAAGAGATTGGATTTATACCCCGCCTTTAACTACCCAAAGGAGTCTCAGAGCAGATTACAATCCCATTCCCTTCCCCTCCCCACAACAGACACCCTGTGAGGTAGGTGGGGCTAAGAGAACTCTTTCCAGAACTGTCCTTGAGAGATCAGTTCTGGCAGAACTATGGCTTGCACAAGGTCATCCAGCAGCTGCAAGTGGAGGAGTGGGGAATCAAACCCAGTTCTCCCAGATTAGAGTCCACACACTTAACCACTACATTAAACAAGCACAAGAATTTATTCAGAAGTTGTGCATCTGAATTTCTTTTTATGGTTTTTCAAAACTTTATAACATAAACCTACCATTTCAGGGTTAGTGTTATTTTGCTACAAAGAAAAGTATTTAATCATCAACTATCAACTACATGCAATCGGATAATTTCTCGATATATCTACAGGTTGGTTTAGATTTCATTTCACTTCATTTCAACAAGCTGCTGCAATTTCTTATTGTTGATATTATTATCATTACCTGCAGAGCTTTGACAACACAAGCCAACAAATGGTAGAAATTTTAATCGTGGTAACTACTAGTCACCATTTGAACAATGCATTGATTGATTTCCTGGATAAACAGAAAGGGCAATGGAGGGTGGCTATATAACCTTCCATGATTCCCAAACTAATTCTACATTTTAGCACAAATCAGTCAGGAAAGCTGGAGATGTTTTTAGTATGATTCTATTGTGGTTCTTTGTGCAGAATCACTTTTCTCAGTTGGTACAGCAGTTGTCTGAAATCCATGCATTTAAAGTCATAGTCACTGATAGTCTACTCAATGACAGGATTAATTTAACTCCAGAATAGCAACAGTAAACGCAAATGGAAGAATCTCTTCTTGTTCACCCTTAATATTCAAAGTTGATCTGCTTTCAAACAGAAAATAATTTATGGACCAAACCATATGCAAACTCCAAAGATGTACAAATGCAGAAACCAAAGTAAAAGTATACTTTAATAATGACAAACAGTCAAATCAGAATCAATAGACCAATATTTGTATGTGACATCAAACAATGTCCTCAACAGACTAGAGGACACTGTATGATTACACATACAAATATTGATCTATTGATTCTGATTTGGCTGTTTGCCTGATATCTCATATGTAGATATAAGACTTCAAGAAGCCTTCAAAGGTCTAGAATGTAAATGCAGACTTCAACAATCCCTTTAATTTCCAGCCTAACTGCAACATTTGCTTGTCATAAGACTTTTATGAAATATTTGCAGATCCATTATTTTATAATACATGTCTTACATCATTTGTACTTAATGGAATTTTTAGTTTGAGATAACTAAGTTGTAATTTATAATATGCACCACTGAAGAAGGCAAAAGCCAAAATGCATTTGGTGTTTTGGATTAACTAAGTATGTGACAAACATGTTCGTTGTTCTTGACGAACTAGCTAAGTGATAAATATTTGTCATGCTGTTAGATCTACATATTTATAGTATATATTGGCTTGCTGGCTATCTAGCATTGGAGAAATTAATTTTAGTGCATTTGTTGTTTACCATTGAATATTTCATTGCTGTTATTGAGATTATTAAGTATTATTTTACTTTGGCTTCTCCATTTGTATATTTTTGGAGCTTACTCACTCAATCTATCTTTGGTTACCTAATCCAATTCTTTGGGTTGGGTTTTATTGTTGTTCCCACCACACTTCTGGCTTAACAAAACATAAAAACCAGCATGAGTTACTTTTCCAGCAGACTATGTTCTATTTACTTCTTATGGGAGCATCTAATCTAGAAAATATCTATCACCCTTAAGATTATTAATGCATTCAAAGAATAACTGTATGTAAACACATTTTTGCATCATCCTTAGTCTAGAACCTAGAGAACTTGTATAGAGACTCCATGAACAGGAGAATCCAGTAGATATTTAAACACATGTAGATATTTAAACACATGTATGCGCCGAATAATAGATTCTTTTGAACTATGGTGCTGGAGAAGACTCTTGAGAGTCCCTTGGACTGCAAGGAGATCAAATCAGTCAATCCTAAAAGAAATCAACTCTGACTGTTCCCTGGAAGGCCAGATCCTGAAGTTGAAGCTCAAATACTTTGGCCACCAAATGAGGAGCACTCACTGGAGAAGACCCTGATGCTGGGAAAGATTGATGGTCAAAGAAGAAGGGGGCGGCAAAGGATAAGATGGTTAGACAGTGTCATCGATGCAATGAACATGAAATTGAGCAAGCTTCAGAGGACAGCGGAAGAGAGGAGGGCCTGGCGTGATCTGGTCCATGGGGTCGCAAAGAGTCGGACTCGACTGTGCGACTGAACAACTACAAAATGCCCACTTTATGCAAGGACGCTTGAAAATCAGTGTTGAGCAAGACAAATCTTTCTGCCAGTCTTCACCTTGTAGGCAGGTAGAACTGGGAAGGCAGGTAGAACTGCCAAATTCAATAAGGATTTTGAACTTTTAGTAGCTGTATAGAAATGGGAATTCTAGCAGGTTTCACCACCTTTGCAACTCTGTAGTGGAAGCAGTTTTATAAAATACCATAGTTATCAACCTTTAGGTAAGTGTAATGGACAGGTTAGGGCTCTGCCTCTACCTGAAAGTGACAGAGCTGATGGAGTGTTAGTGTGAGAGAGCTGGAAACAGCAGTTAGGAGCTGGAAGTGAGAAGAGAGCCTTGAGAGATGGGACTGAGTAAAGTCTGACTGAGTAAAGCTGAGGCAAAGAGAAGCTTAAAGCTAACTGGACAGAAAAGTTAAGTTGCAACAAAATATCCCAAATGCTGGAATAGTTGCACTGTTTATTGAATATATCTAAGTTCAGTGGGAAAGAAACATTGTAACCTTTACCTTACTTTCTTCAGTGTTATGTTCAAACCACAAATAAAAGTTAATTTCTAGTTTGTTTAACCCTGTGGGCTGTGTGTCTCAGGGAAAGAAACAGACACACAAACACAAGTTAAGATCTCAGTCTATATATATTTTAGGGTATGGACAAATAGTGGCAACAGGGTATAAGCCCCCAACTCAAATAACTCTGAGTGGTATTTAAGTGAAGGGAAATTATTTAAAGGGGGCTGGGCTACCCTATCTGCTGATGTCTCTCTGAGTGAGAGAACCTAAGATGTGAAAAGCTCATGGTTCTCTATATATTTTAAAAGAGACAAGAAGGTAGCAAAGTGTCACAGCCTAACTTATTTGTCACCCTGAACCTGTGAGAGAGAGAGGTTGTGGAGGGTGGTAACTTGTATGGGGAACATGGGGAGCCAGGTAGAATTGCCAAATTTAATAAAGCTTTTTTTTTTTTTTTTGGTAAACAAAGTTTTATTATTTTCCAGTCATAGGTATTCCACATTTATCCATTAAAACTTTTCTTTCAAGCATACATTAACAATTACTTAGCCTATAACCCATACTCCATCCCCCCTCCTGTGGCTTCCCGCAATGCTTTCACCCCCTTCCCCTTACTTATATATACTTCATCAGTTGCTAACATTGTATTTCTAATCTCTTTAAAAGATAACAACTTTTTGCTTAATATTGTTCTAAACATAGTAGATTTTTTTTCACATCCCAGTTCTTTTCCAGATAGTTCTTAAAGTCCTTCCATTCTTCAAAGAATTCTTCATCTTCTTTGTTGTTCAATTTCTTAGTAATTTTATCCATTTCTGCCATGAACAGAACTTTATGTATCCAGTCTTCAATTTCTGGTACTTTTTCAAGTTTCCAGTATTGCGCATATAGCATTCTTGCTGTCGTTATTAGGTACCAGAATAAAGTTCTTTTTTCCACATTGACTTCTTCCATTTTTAATCCCAAAAGCAGAATTTCCAGTTCTTTT